TGTGATTCTATGATTCTATTTCATATCTGTCTGTGAAGTCAAAACTTTTCCATCCTTCCAACTGCCAAAGCCTGGATACCATCATCATTTCGGAACTGAGGTCTCCCACATAAGTTGTCCATCCTTTAGGAATTATTTTCCTAGGTAATATCTTTACAAAATATTTCTTCTCCACTCACAATCTTTTTTCATCTTACACATTAGTACAGAAACACTCTCATCTTTGGTCATAGAGTGATTTGACCCTGCTCATATCTAAGTGCTACTGCACATAGGTAAATGCATGATAGAGCAAAGTATTTTACTTTTACCAGGGCAAAGAATGCTTATGTGGATAACACAGGTACACCCACACTCTTCAGGAAATTGATGGATCGGTCAGGTTCTGGATTTGTAACGCATTGGAGAAACTGAAGTCTAACTTTCCATTCTTAAGAAGTCATCATTTAATCCTGTACATACAGGAGTCATCACCCACTACTCAATGAGATTTTGACACCAGTATATGTAATATATTTTTCAAATAGAAATACTTCGCAGTATCTATCACAGTGCTTAAATATGGTTATGTTTGTGCTAAAGGCTGAAAGCTCTGATGGAAAAGTTTAAAAGGGTGAAAGACTTAATTGTACTGCACTGTTCAAAAAACACTGTCCTTATTAAGATTATTAATCAAATAGGGCAAAGACCTAGTAAATATAATTATAGGAATTATTTATTACTGCAGGATCAAAAAATTGAGTTATTCTAAACTGTTGTACCTATCATGTTGCCAAACTTGAACTTTTTGCAAATCTACTGCTTAAAACTGCAAACCTGAGTCATTGTCAGTGTTTACATTCCAGGCCTGTACAGCACATGGCCCATAGCCAAATATCCCAGGCAGCCCAGCAATACCAAAAAAAAAAAAAAGCGGTCATAGATGTGTGACGTGCACCAACAATAGCTTCAGCAATACTTACGAAGGTGCTATGTCGAGGTGGTTGATACTGTAGCCGGATGTACAAAATCCTCCCAGTGTTGTTGATATGGTCACGAATGCAACAGCCAGCGCATAGTCGCATCCTATGAATCCGGCTGCTACTAAGAACACCGCAGGTCCAATCATTCCTTTAAGACAGAAATGTTAACGTCAATGGACTTTTAACAGGAGAAATATTAAGAGGCTCTAAGCTGTGTGCACATTTTCTATACAACTTCCACCACCACCTAGTGTACAGAATCAGTACTGCACTACATGCAACACAGCGGGCCTCTGAGGAAGAGCACATGGGTTGCAAACTTGTCGCTGCCTTAGGAAACAGTAGCCAGACCAGAAAAATCCCCCTCTATCTCCAAAGAGCATTCAGCTAGATAAAAAACCCAAAAATCAACTGATGCTGAAAGTGACTTCACAAATTAATTTTATTTATTGCTATAAAGATAGCAGAAGCCACACTGACACTTGATAGGTAAACAGTGCACTGCAAAGAAGTTATTCCCATCTAACTCTCCAGGTTTCAGAAGCCACTGACTTCTGCAGCTCATAATAAAGTAGAGCTGAAAGGGTTCACACAAATACATGTGCATATATATATATGCATATTTCTCCCTGCAGACACCTTCTAAAATGAGCTTTATTTAACATTTACAAGATCTTAAGGTCTGGTACATCTATATTGGGGCCTGCTGTACAATTTAGAGAACCTAGGCTAGCTTTAGAGACATCAGGTACTGGAAACAGCAGCTGTCACGAGGGAGCGTACCATGTTTCCCATCTGCAATCAACTTTGGTATCCCTCTCCCAGTACCTGAGTTAGCCATTTACATTATAATCTCTGAAAACATCTCCAAGCACATGCTTTTGTTGATGAAGCCAACCTTAGAGCCCTGCCAAGGGCAACAGCATGTTTCCCCCTCAAGTACATACTTGGGTGGGAGGCTCTGCAGTAAACTGGATCACCAAAATGGTGCAAGCTTAAAATATAAAAAAGGCTTGAGAATTAGTAATAAAAGAGCTGCTTTAAAGAAAGTAATTGAATCAGCAGAATTGAGAAGGCAGCAAGGGTGGGTATACATCAAGCAGGTTGCAACTTTGGTGGATCCTGTGCCTAATCTCTCTTATCACACATTTCCCCCAAACCCTTCATTTTCCCCAGATTGATACTATGGTTATGTCCCATACTTGCACCTACCTATTAGGGTAAAACACTTGCGAACACAAACAGTGGAAAAGGTCTGTTTTTCCCGTAAATAATCAGCAATTTGCCCAGAGAGAATTATACATAACCAGCAGCCAAAATAAGGTAGGGCAGATAAAAACCCATTCTGTTAAGGAGATAAAAGAAACAGTTAAAACATTGAAATGGTAATTCAAATGTGAGAAATCACTTGTACTGGAGCATCAACAGAGACTGAACAAGAGGCATCAAAACCATCCATCCACATAACTACTGTTGGTATTATCATAACAGAAACCTAGGGATCGAAAAAGCAAAGCATTTTGAAGTGTACGAACTCCCCATTGCATGACTTAATCCATAACTACCAATGCAGCCAGACCAAAAACTCAATGGTTTAAATCAGTAACTGGGTTCAGGAAAAAGAAAACTATACATGAAGGTATCTTGTGGACATCAATATGATCATGGAAGTTTCCAGAAACACCAATTTAACGTAGGACAGGCTATCAAATTAATTACTAAATAGTGGAAGCTGTAAATATTATTCAGAATTTTGAAAGCTATACGAAATATCAGGGGTTTGTACTACTATAACTCTTCAACATTACACTATCCCATATCTATCTGCTGAAACAACTGACGCTGGCTGTCATCAGAGACAACATACAGAACTAGGACTTTCACTAGATCCAGACTGGACACCCTATGATCCCAAAGGAAAGCTATTATTCAGGACCTGACATCACTTACTCTGAAGTCATCTGTTAACCAACTACCATTAGACTGAACAAGAGCTGTTTCGTGACTTCTGCATGATTTCCCATATTTTTCTGATAAAGGGAAACAAAAGGTACTACTAAGCTGCAAACGTTTAAAGCCTTGCCATACAATTACAGATAATTAATGATAACAGAGCTATAATTTGACCTAAATCTGTGGTTAAAAATTAGGCATTTGGATAGCTATTGGATAGAAATACTCTAATGTTTATACACTATTATAAAACATGTATTTGTCAAAGAAGAACCAAAAGCTTCTCTAGGAAATTAAATTTGAAATTAGACCAGAAACACACCCCCACCTGAAATCCACTTTATCAGAACTCATACATGCTGCCTATTGGGTTTAAATGTTCAGCTTTCAAAAGCAGTGAGTAAAATTTTGAAAAGTAGAAGACAGTCTCAGTCATTAGAAAAAAAAAAACAAACACCAAACACTTCTTTTGAAGTACTGTTTGAAGACACAGCATTATTTTTAACCAATCCCTTTATTACAGGATGGAAACCGGTGGACTATACAGTAGCAACTGTATAATACTTCAAACAGTAATGCAATTTCCATCTAAATGTGTAGCAACAAAGTTAGTCCAACACTATTATGCAAGCTTTTCCTTTTTTTCTTTTCCTTCATGTTCACAGTCTGTACTCTAAGTCACTCCAAAAAGAAGCAGCATATCCCAGAGACAGAGGAAACCACAGCAGAACCTGTTAGCATTTACTGCAACGGCGTTTTACAGAATATACGTAATCGAGGGCTGTGGTGGTAGCAGCAAACAATTTTCATGTATGTTTACACAGGTATTCCCTCAAGAGGCATAATAAGGAACCCAACCAGCAACTTCAGCTAGGTTTTTTTCCAGCTTGCCCTACTGCAACCTTCTCTTCTAATGCTGAGATTCCCCATGTTTTCCTCCCAAGATTGCTGGCATCACCTCTTTCTTGCATGGTGTGCAGCTTCCACTTTGCTCTAAACCAGTCTCGTGTTACACCAGGAAAAGACGATGCTGAACTTTTTTAAATTTCTGACCACCTTTTACTAGAGCTGTACCAGCTTCTCCAGGTAAAGTATACTATCACCAAAACTTTATCGTTAAAGAAAGACCAGTACAGTCAAGTAGTTGCTATTAAAAAAATAAATGCTCCTCCCCACCCCTGTAAGTTTTCCCTGCTAAATAATTTCATTGAAAAACAAAATCCTTGAAAAGTATCTTATTTGCCTTACCAAAAAAGGTATTTTACCTCTGCTGCTCATTGAGGAAATAAAGTGACAATGTGGAAAGGGATCAGACTGAAGCTTCCCCTGCTCCACTTCCCCCGCCCCCTTCCTTAAAAACTTTAAAAAAATGCCACTTGTCCAACGATTTCCTTAGTTTTATTTTTCTTTTTTAACTGGAAATGTTCTCCTTTATGAGTGAGTAAGGGAGTAGTAGGTAGTATTTCAGAAGCCATAAAACAAGTTATAAACTCTGAAGCAATTGTACAAGCCATATAACAGAGAAAAATATTTTTATACTTATTGTTGTAGATCAGAGCAGTTAAAAATGGGTAACATGCATCTTCAACCAGAAAAATGAGCTAGAAAGCTAGCATTAAGCTAAATGTCAAGTAAGTCTTGAAACAAAAGTGGAAATTACAAGGTAGGCAACTTCTTTGATGTATCCACTTAACTGTGGGTATTTGTTTTACCATTGCCCAGATATACACTCCAACATTCTTAAACGGGTTCCTTCATTCTAAACAGGAAGGAAGATATCTGCTATTACATTTCTTTAGTTCAGAAGAATCACAGAATGGTTTGGGTTGGAAGGGACCTTAAATACCATCTAGTTCCAACCCCCCTGCCATGGGCAGGGACACCCCCCACTAGACCAGGTCAAAGAAAGTGACTATATTTTTCTTTCTTACCTCCTGTGCATCAAACCGCAGGATCTCCTTCATGTACGTGGGTAAGAGCGTAAGAAGTGTGTAGAAAGTCCAATTATAAGAGAAGTGTGCCACAACAATAGCCCAGAGGGGAAGGGACTCCAGTATAGGTCTCCAGGGAACAGATTTCTGTGTAGAAAGCTAGCAAGCAGGAAGAAGATAAAAAAGGAAGAGAAAGAGCGATTAGGACATCCACATAAACATTCACTAAATACAGATTTTTGATCCTACGCAAATCTATGCTGATCATTCATTCTCAAGGGCACAAAATGAGACTCAGTCAATAAATGCAAGTCATCAGCAACGAATGAATTACTGTGTTCAGTTCTCCCAGAAGGTACACTAATGTACGTTACTGCCCTGTTGTTTACTGTTGCAAAGTAAACCGATCAGTATTATAGATCAAGGATGTTTTTCTAGACATCACAAGAGCACGATGCTAACAACAATATTTGTTGTTTCTGTTCTGTTCTTACTTAAGTAAATACAACTATACCAAAGTGCTGTACCTGATCTTTTAGAGAGGAAAGTATATACTCTTTTTCAGCATGTGAAATGCTCTTGTGAATTTCTGGCGTATCGCTAACCAACCACATCCAGAAGAAGAACCATAACACGCCAAGCGCACCTATTGTTGGAAAAAGGATGGATGAAGGGATAGAAAAATAATGTTTATTAAAATGATACTAGAGTATTTGAAGAAAACTTTTAAGTAAGTCATCCAAAAGTGTTAGGCACTCAATATAATTTCTTATGTTTTTACTTCTATCTACTTACAAACAGTAGATCCCCAAAGTGACAATGCACATTTAGAGGTAATAAACAATAAAGAGGACTAAGTAGGAAAGTGGGGGTTCTGTGGATTTTTTTTTTCTTCTTCTTCCTCTTGGAAGTGCCTCATACAGCAAGAAAGCTGCATACACATACAGATTGTATTTTTATCAGTCACATGGAACAGCCACAATGGATATGGCTCACGCAGAGGAAACAAAAATTCACATTATTTAATCACAAAAAACCCCCACTTCGTGCACATACACAGAATACCACTACATACAGCTTAACCAATGTACCAATCCTCCTTTTCTTTTTTTAAGCCAAACCCCAGAACTGTCATTTGAAAAGAGTAACTTTTGAAAAGTCAGTCCAAATCAACTGTACTTATATATAACACTAGCTTACTTCATTTTGTCTAATTCTTTGTTGTGAACCCTTTTTATTTATACAAAAACTAGAGGTGGTTTTGTTGAGAGAAGTCTAACCCTTGTCTTTTATTCAGATTCTCCCTTTCCCATGCAGAACATGAAACAGCTCAGACACGTCAGCAGGCCTATAAAAAGCATCAGTTAGATCTATGACATTCTGTTAAAAAATATTTTCTGTCATTGAGCTCCTTCCAGAACATAACTCACAGTAAACATGCTATGCCTTGCATTTTGGGCGTTCCTTCAGGGTTCCTGTGACTGCTAGAGAGATTTTCCACAGAGTTTCCATTTAAAGCCGCAGTAACTTTTCACATGTTCTTTCATTCAGAGTAGAAGTTTGTTCCTGGGATTAAAGTTATTAACTCAATTTCACACTTCAAATAAGAAATTTCAGCCTGTTGTTTCCAAGTGGTGGGAGAATTAAGGGCATTTGACTTGTACCAGCTTTTGTCCAACTCCGAGTCAGCTTTGCTCATTGGAGGCAAGGCTTACATAGCCACACAGAGGAATCTACTCAGCTTTAAATATCTCTAATTTCCCAGGAGGAATAAAATAGCAATCTACATGTCAAACGTGTTTGTTTTGGTTTTTTTTTTAATTAAAGTTTTAAAATATAACATGTTTTCAAAAATAATATGGATTTTATTTTTAATAATTCAGAAAACCCAAACACACACTTACCAAATATGTAAAACACGTAAACCCAGTTCATATAGTAGCAAATTAAACCAGATAGTGGCAGAGAGATAACAGTTCCCAGTTGTGCACCTACACAAAGTAGAAAAAACAGTAATCAGATACACCCCTTAAACTAAGTGGCATTTCACAGTTCTTTTATTTTTCTGTAAGAAATCAGGCAGAAAAGTCACCGCCACCAGAGGGCTGCCATTTCACCTTAAAGAAACACAGGCACAATAAGCTGCTTTGGTAGCTCTAAGTAAACAGAGTCACAAAACCTTAAACATCCAAAATTACTAGCAAAAAGCAGTAAGAGACAAGCATTCTTGGCACATTCATCTCCAGTAAAGTAATGGCTCTAGAACACCCAAGTCAATGCAAATTAGTCAAGTGACATTCCTGCAAAACAAGACAGAGCTGACCACAGTTAAGGACTAGGGGGAGGGATAATATTCTGACTTGATGTAATCAGTTTGGATATCTCATAACTCCTACTATCTCCACAGAAACAGGAATGCTAGAAATAAGAGCTAGAAGGCATCCATATGACCACCAGGTTCAAATCCTGTGGTCCCTGTATTCGACAGGGTGTAGGATCAGGCAAGGAGGAAGGGAAAGATGAGCAGATTCCAGGTCAGATACAAGCCAAAAGCAGGAAAGAACTATTCTTGAGTTTATAATTCAATATACATTTTGCAAAGGATGGCAGGTTTCCTGCCCAGCCCAAATCTAAACCAGAAACCCAACTCGTATTATTTCCATACTTAATAACTCTACTGGTGATAAATAGTAGACCTTGTCTCTTCACATGTTATACAGTCACTTCTCCAAGCCTAATCTCAACTCAGAAAACCTTATTACTATGTTGATACACTGCCTAGATTCCATCTTCATGGAATCAATAATTTTCATTTGAGGCAGAAAGTTTCAGCCACGAATATCAAACTGACATACTTCATGCAACATATCAATCAAAATAGAAACTGCATATAACCTCAATCATATGTTCTCTTTGAAAATCAACACGATCATGATTAAATAAGCCACAGATCACATGACTGCCAACCACAAAACTGTGGGGAAAAGGAAACACTCTGCTAAGTTCACACAAGATGCGTTATCCATCCATGACTGCTGACAATTGGCAGTTCAAGTCCACAGCCTCTTCTCACTAGTACACACCAGCATATAGTTTCACAAGACACAAAAGGACAGTTTAAAAGCTCCCATTTGTTAAATGCAATAGATGTCAATCCCAAGTCTGTGCTCTCTGCTTAACTTCTTGTGTGCTAGATCTCACATGAAGGCTTCTTCTAAAGCAGATATAATTCACTAATGTGGCAGAAAACAGATACACCACCCCATACCCCTGCCCCCCCCAAAAAAAAAGCTTTCTGCTGCATTAGGTGGGTTGAAGTGGCTCATGGAAGGGTCTGATGAGTGCCTGAAATAACACAAAGGAAGGAATGAGACACTTGGCTAGGAGGGAAGTGAGGAAATGTGAGAAAGAAAGGATTAAGGCTTCATTCCTTTTGGCACAAGTGAGTCACTAGACTGCTTAGCTGTTTGAGAAACTGTAGCCACAGTTTACATGGTATCGCCTTGGGCTTCATCAAGAAGGCAGGGCTAATAAGAAAGCTTTAACAGAATTAGTATTAACAAAAGTGAGTAAAACAAACCATTACTCCATTAAGTGAGTGCAAAATTTGTTATCCTCCAAGGCATAATATCAATTTTGACCAGTAAATTTAGAAAGGTACATTTTTCACCTGCCCCTCATTGAGCGATAGGACTGATCAATCAACCCTTAAAAGAGACGAAGGTTCAATGGAGATGGGCAAGAGCAGTGTGCCCATGAAGCTCAGAGAATAATGCAGGGTGTGACCGGCCACAGCTGTTGCAAAGAAAGCTGACTTTATCTCAGTACAAAGGGGACCAGAGGGTGGTGGCCTTTGTTTTAGATAAACAGCTATGTCAGTTGAGTGGATCAGCTGACTATATCAACAGTTGAGTTGAATCAGGTGGTGGTGTCAAGGTTTCTCCTCGAGTTCATTAAAAGCATGACTGTGTCCCCGAGTTAGCCAGACCAGCATGAGGGGAAGGAATTCGTGGTTCAGCCTACCACAAACCATAAAAACTAAACAACTAACAACAGAATTTCTAAGAGAACAACAGACTTGAGCTGCCTTCAACCCACGTACTTCTCCCCAGCGACTAGGGATTCCCAGTGACATGACGGTGAGCATGTTAGGGACCATTAATACAAATGTGTATAGCAAAATACAGCAATTGCGAACTGTTAACTTATATTGGAAGGCTGAGAGAGTTGGGCTTGTTCAGTCTGGAGAAGAGAAGGCTCCAGGGAGACCTTACTGCAGCCTTCCAGTACCTGAAGGGGCCTACAAGGAAGCTGGGGGGGGACTTTTTACAAGGGCCTGTAGTGACAGGACAAGGGGTAACGGGTTTAAATTGAAAGTAGGGAGGTTTAGATTAGATTATCAGGAAGAAATTCTTCCTGGAGCGGGTGGTGAGGCACTGCAACAGGTTTCCCAGAGAAGCTGTGGACGCCCCATCCCTGGAAGTGTTCAAGGCCAGGCTGGATGAGGCTTTGAGCAACCTGGTCTAGTGGAAGGTGTCCCTGCCCATGGCAGGGGGGGTGGAACTAGATGGTCTTTAAGGTTCCTTCCAACCCAAACCGTTCAGTGATTCTATTATTTGTACTCTGCTTTCAGTACATTTTGTATCATTCTGCTAAATCAAAAATCCTGTGTAACATCAAATATCTTCAAATAAATACATTTGATAACAGTCATTATACCTTCCACACGTAGAATATCTAAAAGAATCTGGTCAGAGAGTATTAGATTCTGACAAGAAGCTTTCCCAGCAACACCCAGGACCCTGGACATTTTCTTCCTCGAGTTCCTCCAAAAAAAACTCTAAAAAAACCCAGCCAACCAAGCACACAACTCTTTCCTGTGATTCTACCCCAGCTTTTTTGTTCCTAATACTAAATCTCCTTTATTTACTGTGAAGCTGATTATGGAAGACACTGTAACTCTTTGCACCACTTTATAGCAAAGTTGCTCTGAAGTTTATAATTCGTTGCAGATCAATACGTTTTCTCAGGCTTATAACAGCCATGAATAAATGAAGATAATGAATGTAAAGCAAGATTTAATTCAAAGTTACGCATTCCAGATTAAATGCTGATTGAAATTTATAATATAAATCCCTTTGATTTAAGTCAATCCTCCCTGTTACTGCAGTAAAAATGTATAATCCCGTTATCAGCGTGGGAATTTCTCACCTGCATATGAAATACTAAGGAGCTTGCTGCGTTCCAGCGGCGGAGCCCAGGAAGACCACATTGAATGCATAGCTGGGAAGGTGACACCCTAGAAAACAAGATTTCATCCTTTTGAAACTCGACAGCTTCAGACCTCCCTTCAACTCCGCGCGTTTCACAGCACACTTCATTAAAAAGCAGTAGTACAATCTGTTAATTTCTCGTTGAGCAAGAAACTACTTCAAAAAAAGTGTGCAAGGCATGCGAGCAAGTAGGAAGAATTAATTTATCTTGCTCTTGAATCTGTATATACTGGAAAAGCTGCAAGAATACAAACAATACTGTTCTGAGTTCCCGGTTGCTGGCAAATGGGAAGGGATGATTCTAGTTTTGCCTGAAGCATCCTTACAAATAAAATCTTCTATCTGGAAAGCTTAGGCTAAAATACAGGGCAAACCTTTTAATAATTCAGAAATTTAAAACTAAGCTACTCAAAATGAAACAATCCACATACTACTCCATCATATCAACCTGCAGGGTCTAATCACTGCAATTGATTAACAAATTATTCAGGTACGTTTTCAAGTTACATAGACAAAAGGGATTACCTCTCCCAGTCCTTCCAAGGCTCTGACAGCTATGAGGTAGCCAACTCCCAAATCTGCGGCTAAGGGAGTAAGCAAGGTGAATACAGAGGTGCCAAAGACGCCAAACCCCAGTAACAGCTTCCCTCCAATTTTACTTGCAAGATATCCTCCTGGAATCTGAGTAATGATATAGCCATGGAAAAAAGAACCAAGGATCCATCCCTGAGTATCAGCATCCCAAGAATACTTTTCCCCCTAAAAAGAGGAAAAAAAACAAGGCAGTGAGTTCAAAATAGCGGTTTCTCTGACCATATTTTTATATAACTTTGATCCAGCATTTAGTCCTTTACACCTAAATTACAAATCTTCTATGGCCTTCCTCTACACACACCTATATTGCAATCAAAGTTGTGCTGAAAGCTAATTCAGCTACTTCACAGTCTACCCAGACATATTCAGCCCAAGCATGAAAATCATCACAACGTGAAATATAAGTACCCAGGGAGTTATCCCTGTTCGAGTTCTAAGCAACTTAGGTTAGGTGACTGTGCTGGATTCAGTCAGAAGGAGTTAACTCTCTTTACCGTGGCTGCTAGGAAGCTGTTCCTGGATGCAGAGAGCAGCACTGATCAGTTCTCAGCTGGAGCTGGGGAATGCCTGCACTGAATTCAAGGTCTTTCTCCCCTTCTGATCCTGCAGCTGCATTCCCAGCTCTGCTGTCTCGCTACAGGCAGTGCTGGGACACACAGTTCAGGCACCTGACCCCAACTGACCAAGGGAGTATTTCATTCCATAGTACGTCATGCTGGGGGC